GGACTGCGGGTTCATGGTGTTGGAAGCGGTTTCTGAAGCTTCATCCAAAAGTTAGCATTTTCTCAGAGATGGATGGTCAGGTCTGCTGGAAAGATGAAGTTATGTCAAAATACTTTGTTAAGAAAATGTGGAACACTCTCAGGCCAACCCAACCTCGCCCTACATGGATGCGTCTTGTGTGGAAAGGCCCTAGATTCCCTCAAAATAAATTTCTCCTCTAGTTGTTTGTGAAGCAAAAATGGCTTCGTGGGGTATTCCGGCCCTATGAACTGTGTTCTGTGTGATAAAGAGGTTGAAACAATGTGTGATGTGTACATGGAGGTTTTTGTTCAGCTGTTGGGTAAGCATTTTGTATGATCATTTTGCTCTTCACAGAGGCTTTGAGATTTGATGGGCAGAACAGAGTTTCAATGCATCCTCAGGACCTCTCCACTAAAGGATGCAAGGAAGATAGTGTGGGATTTATTACTAAGTCACATGTGGCGTGAACTGTTTAGGCGAATCTATTCAGGGGTAAAGTTTGAGATTGAAGTTCTTATGAAGGTGATTAAAAACGAGGTTGGGGTGTTGATGGAGGATCAAATTGCCTTATTAGTTGCTGTCTGGGGGTTAGTTATATATATTGTATGGGTAAATGTCACATTTGGTCACTGAGATTACTAAATTGTGTCATGTTTAGTCACTAGAAAAATTTAATATCAATTTTGATCACTCGAATTATTGAACAGGTCACATTTAGTCACTCCCCCGTTAGTTTCCATCCAACTCCATTAATGGAGTTGGATGGAAACTAACGGGAGAGTGACTAAATGTGACATGTTTCAGTAATTCGAGTGACTAAATGTCACATGTTTCAGTAATTCAAGTGTCCGGAGTTGGACGGAGACTAATGGGAGAGTGACTAAATGTGACCTGTTTCAGTAATTCGAGTGACCAGAATTTATATTAAAATTTTCTAGTAACTAAACATGACACGATTTAGTAATCTCAGTTACCAAATGTGGCATTTACCCATATATTTATAGTTCACATTGTATAGCTTCCTAGTTAGCAGCGGGATGAAGTAATTATTATCTCTCTCTAAGTAAAAACTCTCTGACCTCTCTCTAGCGTCTCTTTCTAGTCTCCAGCGGGGGAGTCGCCGGCTTCACCTCTGGGTGATCGGCGGCAACCCATTTTCCATCCTCTACATCCTGCTTGTTTCCCCCCTCCCCCCAGCTCTTGTGGCTCTCTCCATTTCTATTATGCTACTTCCCTAAGTGGATTTTGCCATGAACTTCTCCTTGGAGTTGTTTCCTCCACATTTCAGATCTGGTTTCAGATTTTGAAATCGGTTCTCAGTTTGGTTCTGCTCCAGCTTTTGGTTTCTAGTCTAGATCTTAAAGCTCTGGAGGGCTCGTTCTGGTGGGCAAAGGGGGCTATGGAAATCCGTTTTTGTGGCTTGTCTTCTTGTTGGTAAATCTCCCATCTACCTCCTTGTTTCACCCACAGAGTCGGTGATCTGGAGATGCAACGACCTTCTCATCATGCAGCGGTCTGGATGCGGTTTATGGACAAGAAGGCAAGGGCACACTCTCTCAGATCGCGTCGGGTTCCTCTGATATCTTCCTGTCGACTTTGGTTTTCCCTCTCGTGTCTCTGCAGGTCTCTTCTCTTGGCTTTTGGAGGCTCTTCTTTGGGGATCTTCTTTTCGGAGGGACTGGATCTTCATGCGGCGGGTTTGGTGGTGATCAGCTGATGTTCTTGAGGGTTGAAGGAGGCGGCTGCTGCTGTGGGGTGATTCACATTTGCTTGTTAGGGTTTGTGTGAGCTCTATATTTTGGTTGTACTTTTGCTGAGCCTGTTTCTATTTCTTTCATTTGCATTTGTACGGGCCATTATGTTGGGATTTCATTTTCCCTTTGCTTTTGTGATGCCTCTCATGGAATATGTATGTTGTATGTACTCTAACTTTGCTCCACATTGAAATGCAATGCAAACATTTTCCCGTAATATATATATATATATATATATATATATATATATGGGGAGTTCTACGGTACCCCGGGTGAAATTCGGGGTACCGCATACCTTAAGTAAGAAAATGCTATCTAGAACTTGAATTGACTGATCTTTCGGACATTAGACTATACTCTAACCCATAAAGATCAAAATCTAAGTCTTAATTCTCTAAATCTTATACCCCAAGATCAATTTAATTAGAAACAATAATCGACGGTTATGATTCGTCCAAATATAGGCAAAAAAGTAATGCTCCATCTTAGGGTTTATAGTTTATGATTTAGATAATTAGGACCTAGGGTTCACTCATTAAGGGTTATGGTATAGTATCATGCCCAAAAATCATGCTAAATTGAGGTCTAGATAGCGTTTTCATACTCAAAGTATGCGGTACCCCGGATTTCACCCGGGGTACCGTAGAAGGCACCATATATATATCTTCCTAATTGGTAAGGATGGTTGTCAACAATACTTTTTTGATGATATAACATAAACTAATTCTAAAAAAAAATCAGAGATATCTAATATTTCATAAACGTAAAGATATGATATATATATTTGTAGGCTTATTTTTCTATTAAATGTCAACATGTAAAATTATCAAACGCTGGTTCTAAAAGAAATTCAATAATCAGAAGGATTAATTAAAACCTAAACTTTATCCAGTAATAATATAAGCAGATCTATTTCTAAATAGTAAATAAAAAAAATTAAAACCTAAACTTATTGGAATGTTTATAATTTTTGGATATTTTTTTATGGGGTTAATTGCATGGTTGGTCACTAAAATTACAAAAAACGTTTATGTTTGGTCACTCGAAATATTTAATTCCATTCTTGGTCACTAAAATTAGTTAAAGAGTTCAAGTTTGGTCACTCTCCGTCCATCTCCGTTAACTTTTGCTTATGTGGCAGTCAACTCTTACAATTGACCGTTAAATGTGCCACGTGGCAATTTAAAAATTAATTAAAATAAAAAATTTAATTTTTTAAATTTCCACCTCATTATCACAATTATTAAAAAAATAAAAATATTAAAACTAATTTCTTCTAATCTCCATACCCTACCGACCAAACCCCGATGCCGTTGGAGTTACCTACTCCGCCGCCGCACTACCGCCGCCGCCTTCAGCGAATTCCAGTCGCAGTTCATCTTCGTCCTCGCAGCACCTCCCGCCTCCCGGAGACCATCGCCTCAGCGGTGGTGGCTCTTGGATTCCTCTAGGTGCTCCGTCGAGAAGCTCAGCCAGCCCCCAGCTCCTCATCTCCGAGGTGAACAGGCTGGTAGAATTTCTCTTGAACGGTCGATACCGGACAGGTACTGACCGCCGTGGGAAAACTATGATTTGAAAATTGAAACCATCCGTGTTTCGCCAATCGATGAATATGCATGATATTGCACCTCAACGAACTTGGAGATTGTTCATCTCTGTTTTCATGAAAAGAAACAGAGCAAAAACAGAGTATTATATTATAAGGTAAGGTTTCCCCTGTTCAAATTCCAATTGACTTAATTATGCAGATCCCTTGCAGAACATCCCTAACCCTCATACTCCTGCTACTGCTACAACTACAACTCCTACCTTCACTTTCATAACAGCTCCAATTACGACACAAAACCCGACTGTCTCTCCAGGCCGGCCTTCCCAGCTACTGTCAGCGGTTACTACCGCCTCAACCACAACAACCACGCCTTGCTCCCCCAACTCCTCTTCTTCGGGGAAGCACCCGACGTATATGGGGATCTGGGCCCGGAGCGGGAAGTGAGGCTTGGAGATCCGGGAGCCCAAAAAGTCGACCCGGATATGGGTGGGGATGGGACATCGTTGCATGCCAACGTGGTGATAGTGATACTGCGAAGGGTTTCGTCGGCGAGAAGAAGTTGTAGAACATCTTCCGATTGAAATATTTCGGGGAAAATGTCGTGGGGAGTCCGGACAACGTCGTTCCGCTCTACAGAATCTCCGTCTTCAATTCAAAATCCCCTCCACGCCCTACTACACTATGTACTATATATTCACTCTCCCCTCAAATCCACCATTGATTTGAACCAAACCAAACTCAACCCACACCTCCCCCAACAACAAATCACCGCCGCCATGGCCTTCTCAATCCGCCACTCTGTTTCCCTTCCCCTCTTCCTAATTTCCCTTCTACCAGAACAGCACTGTCTCGCCTCGAAGCCGCCTCGCCAGATTTTCGCCCTGAAAACAGAGACCCACCAGCGGATTCCCAATTCCAGGCTGTTCCAGACCCTCGCCGCGGGTTCCAAATCCGACAAGATGCTCCTCCACCACAACGTCTCCCTCACCGTCTCCCTCACAGTCGGGTCGCCGCCGCAGGCCGTGACGATGGTGCTCGACACGGGTAGCGAGCTTTCCTGGCTCCATTGCAAGAAAACCCCGGGAATTAAAGGTTTGGGATGAGATTTGGGTGGGTTGTCTTTGATTTAGGGGATTTTCATTGACGGGGAGCTCGTGGAGAGGTGGCCGGCGTGAGTGAAGCCGCAGATGGACGGTTGAGGTTCAGCCGAGCATGGAAATTAGAAGAAAAGAAATTAGGTGTTTTATAATTTTTATTTTTTATTAGTTGGAATAATGAGTTGGAAATTTAAAATTTAAAATATTATTTTTAATTAATTTTTAAATTGCCACGTGGCACATTTAACGGTCAATTGTAAGAGTTGACTGCCACATAAGCAAAAGTTAACGGAGATGGACGGAGAGTGACCAAACTTGAACTCTTTAACTAATTTTAGTGACCAAGAATGGAATTAAATATTTCGAGTGACCAAACATGAACGTTTTTTGTAATTTGAGTGACCAACCGTGCAATTAACCCTTTTTTTATGCGTAGATTGATGAAATTCCCAGGGAAACAAAAGAAGCTAGGTCGATAACAACAGTACCAGAAGCAACCACCGGCTGGCGGAAAGTATGACTGTGTCTCTGATCATACTCAGAACTCATACTACTCAACTTCAGGGGAAATTAGAGCACACTCGTACCAAAATCAGAACAAAGAGTTTCTGAACAAATTAAAAAGAAAAAATTACAAAATAAACCCGAGCGGAGATGCGAAACTACAGTATGACTGCGAGATCATACTCGGAGCCCATACTACAGTCTAACATCACAAAACGAAGAGTTACAGAACAAATTGAAAAGAAAATCACAAAACAAACCGAGCGGATACGTGAAACTACAGTCAAAGAACGTTTTTTTTTAATGGTGTGGACGTATTTTCAGTGTTGTTGAAGGCGAAGAGGAAGGCCTAACTGGGGAGTCGGCATCATATCTCCGACCACCTTTTCACCGGCGACCACGGCCTCCCACTGGAACCTCGTCACCACATTGTGCACGAACGTCAGGATCGCCAGCCTCGCGTACTCTTTCCCTGCACACATCCGCGGCCCGCCTCCGAACGGCACGAGCGCGAAAGCAGCCGTTTTATTATTATCCACTTGATCATGCCTCGACGGGTCGAACCGCTCCGGATCCGGAAAGTAATCCGGGTCCATATTCGCCGTGCTCACCGTCCAGTACACTTTCCACCCTTTCGGCACCGTGTAGCCGCCGTAACTGAACTCCGTCAGCGCTTCCCTGAATGCCCCCTGCAGCGGCGGCGTTAGCCTCATCACTTCCTGTACCACGTTCCATGAGTACTTCATCCCCTGAAAGTCGTCCCATTCCAGCAATTCCCCTGCCTTCTTCCTCCCCGAGATCTCCCTGTGCTCTGTAATTTGTAAATTCCGTTAAAACGCAATGCCGCCAAAATCGCGATTTCACGTATAAGCGTTTTTGGTGATTTAAAACGTGATTTTGACTCCGACGATTGAATTTCACGGAGCAATAAATGTGTAGCACGGGTGGGTGGATCGAAATAAATAAGCAAATCGAACTAATTTTATTACCTGCGAGGACCTTGGCGTAGATGTCACTTCTCTCGCCGACGTACTTCAAGAAGAAAGTGATGGCAGTAGCCACCGTGCTGTAACCGGCGACCAGCAGCCCCATGACCTTGCCGGCGATTTCGGACTCCGCCATGTGATTCCCCGAAGAAGGGTCGGTGGCGACGATGAGGTGCGAAAGTATGTCGAGCAGAGGAGCGCCGCCGGCAATTGCGGCCTTCTTTTCTCTGATGATTGCAATCAGCTCCCCGCGGATCACCCCTGCCGCCGTCATCGACCGGCGGAAGACGGTTCCGGGGAAATTGAGGGGAAAGGAATGCAATCCCACGGTGACGTCATCGAAACTCCCGACGAGCCTGGCGATGCGCGTGGGATCGTCGGTTCCCAGGAAGAAGCTACAGGCGAGAGACAGAGTCAGCGACTTCGCCAGGGGAAACGCGTGGACCAATTCTCTGCCTTCCCAGTAAGCTCGAATGTGGTTCTGGGTGAAAGAATCCATTTTTCCGACGTATCTCACGAGGGCCTCTGGTTTTAGGAACCCCGGAGATCTCATGAGCTTTGTGACGCCCGCCGAATTGGGCTGGATTACGGTTCGGCCCTTGGGTTCTCTGAAGAGCTTTTGGATGGAATGCGGGCGGAAGACGGTGAAGATGGTTTGTTCATTGGAGAAGAGAAATTTGTGGCCGGCGGGACCGCATAGGACGACGGTGTTCTCGCCGAGGATGTTGGTTTTGAAGATTTGGGGAGAGTGTTTCTTCATTCTGTGGGAGATGAATTTTTCAGGGGTGCCGAAGAGGAATTGGAGGGTTTCGCCGATCACCGGCCATCCTAGGCTCCCCGGCGGCAGGTTTTTGGGTCCGGGTGATAGGAATCGGTTGAGTGAGAAGAGTAATGCGATGGCAATTGCTAAGAGGAGTGGCGCCAAGAATGAGAAGTCAGTTGGAGCTTCCATGGATTGAAGGTGTGGGAGAGAGGAAAGATTGCGCCCGGGTTTTGGTGGGTGAGTCAAAGAAGAGGTAAGTGTCGTCTGTGGCCTGTGGGGTTTTATATACCGTTAGTTAGGCCGGCAGTCTGGTAGTATTAGTATTTGAAATAGGCCAAATATTGTTTGGAATTTATCATTATTTGTTACTATTGAATATCGATTTGTATTTTAGGGATTAAGATTGAGATTCATTTTGGAGTGTTATTTGGTATTCGGAATTGATATCGATATATAGGGCTGGAAGTTTGGTACCGGTATTTGGGATATCAAATACCGTACCGAATATGTTTATATTTGGTATTACCGAATACACGTATTATTTCTTGGAATTGGGATTGAGATTGAATTTCAATTGTTATTCGATATTAGGGATTACAGGATTGGGATCGGTATATACCGATCAATACCGAAATATAAGCTAGTGTGTATTTTATCCTCTCAACTAGACTCACTCATTTACTACTACACGACCCTCAACCATCACAAGTGTCATTTAATTATACATAGATCATTCCATCACTATTTCACAACTTAGAAGTCCTCATCCAACTCAATTTTGACTTTCCAATTTAAGTTACTCTCTTCTCTCATCTAATCTCTTGTTATTTTCATAACACCAAAAAACAAACACTAGAATTAGTCGTCTCTCAACCTCCAATTCGTCAAATTAAAGATTACCAATGAGAAGAACTTGAGATGTCACCTCTCCTCTATTCTCCTTATCCATATCTTAGCTCTAGGTAAACTCAAGACTCTTTGCTTAGTCGCTTTGCCCTAAATTAAACAATTAAATGGAATTTTTATATTTAATTATTAATTGCAAAGGTAATTAATTTCGTATTCGATAATACCGATTGGGATACCGAAGTATCGAATGGGATACCGAAATATTTAGGGATTGGGATACCAAAATTATTTAGGGATTGGGATTGAGATTCATTTTAGGGTGTAGTTCGGTATTTGGGATTTTGGTATTTGGTATTGGGATACCGATACCATACCGATTTCCACCCCTATCGATATATATCGAAATACTTATACCGAGAAACAACTAAAATTGAAAATTAATGAAATGTAGCACACAATCTTTGCACTCTTTCACAACTCACAAGCCCCCATCCAAACCAATTTTGCTTTTCAGTTTAAGTCACTCTCCCCTCTCATCTAATATCATCTAATATCTTGTTATTTTCATAACTCCAAAAAGCAAATACTATATTAGTAGTCTCTCAGCCTCCAATCCGTCAAATTAAAGATTACCAATGACATGAACTTGAGATGTCACCTTTCCTCCCTTCCCCTTCTCCTTATCCATGTACTAGCTCTAAATAAACACATTGCATTTTGCCTAGTCTCCTTGTCATAAATTAGACAACCTAATCTAATTTATATATTTAATTATTAATTGCAAAATTAATAAATTTCGTAACGGCCGAAAGTAAGCTTAAGATATGAATACGATCAAACATATACCAGATGTAATATGGTCGATGCTAACGTCAAATATGAATGCGATGAAACATATACCAGGTAATATGTTTTGATGCTAACGTCCAAACCGCTACGAAACAACAAACCAACTCATAGTACTCCTTAGTTCATCATCAATATCCCTCACTAAGCCAGCTTTTGGAATCTATTTCCCAACCTAGGCCTAGTATTAAGCGATTCCGGCAGCGTCTCTTGGCATCTGGTCAACAATTCGTAGCCCTTTCTCAGAAGAAGCAATCACCGCAGTGCATCTGTTCTCATGCCAATCAACACAGGAAAGTAATTTAGATGTTTGAATGGGTCATTCTTCCCTTCTAACTCTCAAGGAGACAAAAATGAACAGAAGCAAGAAGACTAACGGGTATTTGGAAATGACGCCATGGTCTACAACCCCGCCCAATTTATCAAGGCTTCGAGCTACTTCACCTGCAAAATTAGAATGACAAAACTGATTGCCTTAGTCCCATGTCAAACCGCCGGACAGTAAGAAGACATGGTCGAGAAGAAACCCCACCAAGGCTTTGTATTGGAGAAGTGAAGATGAGATCCAGGATGTTGTGACCTTCTCTAGTGATCAAAGGGAAATCTCCACCTGTTGGACCTGCCTGTCCTATGGCTGCTCTTCTCCATACCTTTGATTGCCAATTGTACGTCATTAACGAGAAAAAGGTGAGATTTTTTTGTTTCTTTTTTGGAAATGTGGCCTAAAAGTTGCGCGGGAATATGAAACTAACAGTCCAAGATCATTCAGCGAACTCATTCCTATGAATTCAACAAGACAAGATAAACAATTTCTACTGGCATAACATAAGTCTGGCAGAGGGATGACCAGTAGAAAAGTAGCTCATACATACCTCTGCATCTCCTAAGAACAAGTCTTCAATTGCTTCAGCAGCTTCCATCCAGCCCAGCTGAAACACAGTAAGTGACTATCAGACCATGGACCTCTTCCAGCAGTCCAAGCCAACATAGATATGATGTAGGAGTTGGACTGCTTACAGACTGAACCAGGACAGGGATAGAACCCTCCAGGTCACTTTTATACTGTTTCTCAGTCATTATGAACACAAGCTTCCTAGCTGCATTTAGGATCAGCTGCAAAGAGAAAAACTGAGTCAGTAATAGTTGTTGAAGCTTTGCAATGAAGCAAAATAATGTTTTGAATATCAGGCAATTTCAAAGACAATCCGCCATTACCTCATCCGAGAACATTTGATCTTTAATTTGAATTCCAAAGGAAATAGGATATCACACAATTAGAATACCAACTTACTGACCTTCTCTTGAATTAGAGACTCATCCTCCTGCAGTATTCTCCTACCAATAACTGCAACTAGTGTTTCTTCTTCCATCACATCAGCATCGGCGAACGCAAAATCAATCTATGAAACACCAACTTCAGTGGCAAAACATCAATACTCTCTTAAACGATTTTAAGCATTTGGAGCTCGCAGTAAGGGAACTAGTTTCTACTTAAGTATATTACACCTGAAATCCAATCGCATATAAATTCTAATCTCTCAGTCACCAAGCAAGAGATATTGCAAATAAAACTAGCAATTCTTCAACGCTTCTGCTACCACTGGTGTGTGCAACAATACACTTTAGAACAAGATGTCATAGAAGCTTCCAATTGAATTGATCTACTGGTTTGGAAAGGAAACAAAGAGAGTAAACATTTAGCTCACTTGAGAAGTAGTTGCATATTGATCCAATGGAATGCCTGCCTTTGCAGCTTCACTTGCAATGGCAACAGACCTGCATCAAAAGGGGACCAAATCACATACCCCACTCAATGATGATAATAATAGTGACTAGTGATTGATGAAAAGTCATAAATGGCAGCAAATTGTGGAGAAGGGTCAAAAGAAAAACTCACATGGGTATGCCTACCAAATCTTTTAAAGCGCCAGAACGCAGCTGCTGACCCAAATACTGTATAGCCATTGCAGAAGCTTGCCCGGTCCCCAACCCGACGACCATGCCATTTTCAATGTACGTATCGACCTACGAAAAGATGAGCTCCACAATTGAGTTTCGGGGACAACAATTTCAACTGGAGTCGGGTGGAGCGGGAAAGATATAGTCGGTTACAGACTTACAGTATGCTTGGCCGCATGAAGGAGAGCCGAGCTTTCACAGAGCGTGCTTGCTCGGATGACCGGGAGACGAAATGTTCTGCGCCTCCATGGAGATGAAGTAGTGGGATTCGAGCGAGGCTTCAGATGAGTAGCTGCGATTGAATGCAGGATAGGTGCTTGTGAGATTGATGATGAAGCCATTTTAGCTCCCTCTGTCCTTGAGCTGAGCTCTCCTTTTTACTTTCAGAAACCTGTGTGTGTGTCGTTTAATGGCTTTTTCTTCCGTTTTTACGGGTGTTTTATTTAGAAAAGAATGGATAACGTTGGTTGGGGTTGTGATGCGCGACTGCGTCTCTAGTCTCTACCTCGCGACGATGGGTGTTTGTTGGCGTGTAGTCCATGACAAAGCCCATGAAGAGAGGAGCTGGCCGAAAGCCCAAACTCCCATGGACCAATCAATCGAGTCTGACTTCTCCAACTTACTAAGAAGCCAGCCGAGCCTATTGGGCTGGAGGACAACAAACCGGCGGATAGATAACCGAAGAACAGAATCATTAGTGGATCTAGTGACAGCAATAGGGCGAGGTGGAAAGATGCCTCGATACCTATACGCTATACTTGTCCAACTGACTAACTGCATCTCAGGTTGGATAATACTCCGTACCCTACTCGGTCTATATGAAAATGTGGTCGGACATGTGAGCGGCCATTCAACCTCCCCAAAGCCGAAAAGGAGGTCCTTGCTAAACCAGAGGGGTCAGTGAGTCATCTCTTTTATTTTATCCAACCCAACCCACACCACACCACACCACATCCATCAATAGTTTAGTTAGTGATAGTGATAAGGAAAAAGGAAAAGAGGAGCAAAGGTAAGTAGTGATGATCGGCAGAGACCAGAGAAAAGAGGGATGGCTGGGCCTGGGCTGGCTTCCATTCCATTCCATTCCATTCATTTCCCCCCATAGTCGCAAAAGAGCGAGCATATTTGTTCCTGCGATGAACAGCAGAGGGGCACACCATCCATTCATTCCAACGACTATTATTTTTATTTTATGGCCACCACACCACACCACACCAGAGAAAAAGGATTGGGGAGAAAGCAAAGCAGAGCAAAGCAAAGCAAAGCAAGGGGACGGTTGGTGACTGCTTCTGCTTCACTTGTCGCCGCCAGCCCACCATCCCACCGACTGCCCACTGCCCAGCCCAGTAGTACCCTAATCATGGTTTTGCTTCCGCCATTTCTCTCTACTGTTTATAATTTAGTGCCACTCCCACTTTCTGTCTTTCTCACTCACTCAGACACATCAAAAAGTAAGAGATCCCCACGATCTCTATCGGGGCATCATGACCTAACAAAACCCCATCCCTTTACTGATTCCTAATCATGCATACGATTTAAAATGTGCCTATCATCTGATCATTGCTTATTTTCAATACCTCGGCAAATTAGTTTGTTTAAGAATGATAACATGATATGCTATCTATTCAAAATGTAGTATTAGTTTCCATTGTATATTTTGGATGTTTGTACTGCACTTTTTAATCAAAGTAAACAATACATCAATTATTATTAGAATTATTATGACCCCAGATTTTCACTGTTTCATACGACAATTACGGGCTTACCCTTAGCGTAGAATAGTCGTTATATGTAGGGTCGTAACTCACGTACCGTTCGTCTGATCTCTTCGGGTGGAGAGATCCTATGAAGAGGCGGGATACATTCCGATGATCAAGTAAGTTCATGATCTAATATGTGAATAGAATGTTTAGAGAAATAAAGTGTAGAGGGAGGATCGAAAGTGTGAAATGTGGTGTCGAGGTTGCGTTACTTTCCTTTGAGGGGTTGGGAGTCCATTAAGAAGAGACTCGTGAGTATTATACATTCTTAGTTTGGCAACTCACTTAATAGTGTCATCCTTTGCTTGTCATCTTAGGGGTATCGAACATCGTTACACTCGTCGTCTTAATTCTGTCACCTTAAAAGTATTAAGCGTCTTTATGAGCCCCAACTTACTTATTTCACCTAAGGAACATGAAACATCATTAGTTACATCCCGACAATTGCCCCATGTTGGTGATAGAAACACGTTTTCGTGATTCTATCATAATAATAACTATTATTATTATCATTATTATTAAGATATTTACAAATAAGGGTAGTAGTCTTTTGGTAGAATTAGGTTTATTATTAGGTTTTCCTATCTTTCCTATAAATATGTAATCTGGGTTTCATTATCAATCAAGCAAGAACAACTATTCAGAAAGTATCTCTCCCAAAACTCTAATCCTCTATCCCCTAATTTCTCGTTCTCTAGCCCTCTAAGGCTTCGGCCGATTCTATCTTCTATTCTTCTTCTTCCCCAAATTCCCAATCCTCTCAGTTCTCGATCTTAATCCCTCTAAAGGTCTAGGCCGATTCTCTATCATTCTCTTCTCAAATTCCTAATTGTGTTCGTATAACCCTAATCCCCAAATTATCAAACCCGATAGAAACCTTGTTTCTATCATTTGGTATCAGAGCTCCGTTGCGAATCTGAGTTCATCACAACTCTCAATCGGGGACGAGTTCTATCACCTTTCCAACAAGATGCATCAAAGAATTGCGGCATTCAATCTCAAACAAGAGGCATCTCGACAGCAGTTGGGGGAAAAACTGCAAGCAATACAAGACGACACTGTAAACGGGAAAGTGGCATCGGAGCGCATAACCCTACGGAAGAATGTGCTTGCCGAACAACAACCACCGCTTGCCATCTCTGCTCCCAAACGTGAGGGTAGGCCTGGATCCGAACTTCGGAGGGACATGATGTAGCTTGAAGGTGCCGAGAAGAAGGTAGCAGGGGGTCGCCTAGCCAACTGGCGATTCAGGAAGAAGGACTCCGAGGAACGGCCGCCACATAAGGAAAAGATTGATGGTGAGCCCAAGTCGGCGTCGAGACGAGCAGAGCTGGTTACCTGCCGAAAGGCCACCATGATCGAGGCTTCACATGCATCCTCCATAGTGGAGAATGAGGTGCAGATGGCCATGAGCTTGGAGGCGACGTTGGCGGAGTCCAGAAGCGGCAATATTAGCCGGCGACGAGAATCAGGGCAGGTGAAGGGTCGGTGGATCGATGCCCCCTCGCCGCAGATCGCGCGAGTGATGCGGAGATCGCCGACAGCTTCCGCCATGGGAATGAAAATCGGGAATGCGGAACCTGAGATCCGCGTGGTTTCTTCCATCGTTGGAGTGACGACAGCTTCCGCTAGGGCATCGACTGACGGGGCGGTGCAGACGAGGAGGAGGTCGGAGGTTAGATGGCTTCCCCGCTGCCTGAGGTGCTACCCGCCACCAGATCTGAAGGAGTTGCCGAAGCAGGGTCGTCGAGCCACTGTCGAGTCGTCACTCGGGAGGGACAAGGAGGATAAGGAAGTCGTTCCAATCTCGCTAACAAAGCCTCCGAAGCCCGGGAACGTGAGGATTAATACGTCATTGGCGGCGCACTGCAACGACATAGATCAAGTATACGGAGAAGAGACGACGACGCACCGTTACTCGCAGGAGCCCTCGGTCATGAGAAGAACGCAGAGGGCGGCGGAATTCTTCTCGTTGCCGACCTGGAGGAAAGAGGATTCGTCGATGGAGAAGGAAATGGAGGGAGGCGGCAGGGAGCTTTCCCACGCACCGCCGAAGATGGAGGAGTCAAAGGCGAGGCCGGGGTCGGACTGGCCCTCGAATCGCGTAGTACACTGCTCGCTGATGTGGGAGAAAACGAGGAAGAAGAGGTGGGCGACTTCTGTCATGGTGGCGATCGCCGAGGAGGCGCCTCGGAGATGACGCGGGGCGTTGCCCGGATTTTTTGCCCGCGGTTCAGCTCGACAAAGGAGATAGAGGAGGAGGTCTGCGGCGGCGACATCCTCACGAACCCTAGGTTCTCAGCCTTGGATCGATCTGTGTAGTGGCAGGGAAGTTTGGGCCGCCCGTATGTTTGGGATGCTGGGCCTGATGGGCCAACGTTGGGGTCAAAGAAGGGAGTAAGTTGCGGGCCGAGTCTGCAGTGGTTGTGTGGGCCCCGTGGAAGTCTGGCTCGCGGGCAGGAAGTCGCAGGGCTGGTCTCGAATGGGCGAGTGGGCCTTATCAATGGGCCAGTTGAACCAGCCGATTGGGGTTGGAAATTTGGCAAATTGGGCTACGTTTGAGCCAAGTATTGGGCCGCAGATGAGAAAGAAGAGGGTTGAGCAGCCTGGGCTGGAGTTTTTAAGGAACCAAACTCTGATACCAGACCATGGGCCAAGACTTGAGGAAGTTGGGTTGCATCTGCAAGCTTCAAGTAGGCTTTCATTGGGCTGTTTAATTGAGTCTCTCTTATATGGTGTGGGCTTGAAAGAAAAAGAAGAGAGATTCATGGGCTTAGATGATGGGCTCCAAGAAGAAGAACTTAATGATTCTTATTTTGTAGAGTTTGAGGAGGATAAAGGGTCAATTGGCCATGGTTTCAATTTGAACCACGCGAATTGGGAAGAGGCCATTGAAGTCGGAGTCGCGGGAGTGGACTTCATTCGAGTAGTGGAGCACAATTGGAAGAGAAGGAAGCGTAAGAAATGGAGGAGTCGACTGCGGATTGTGCAAGAAGAAAGGGAAGAGTGGGTCGAGTTGATCAACCTTGAGGGCAAGGTTGGTCTCAAGGGGGAGGAGATGATAGAAACACGTTTTCGTGATTCTATCATAATTATTATTATTATTATAATAATAATAATTATTAATATATTTACAAATAAGGGTAGTAGTCTTTTGGTAGAATTAGGTTTATTATTAGGTTTTCCTATCTTTCCTATAAATATGTAATCTGGGTTTCATTATCAATCAAGCAAGAACAACTATTCAGAAAGTATCTCTCCCAAAACCCTAATCCTCTATCCCGTAATTTCTCGTTCTCTAGCCCTCTAAGGCTTCGGCCGATTCTATCTTCTATTCTTCTTCTTCCCCAAATTCCCAATCCTCTCAGTTCTCGATCTTAATCCCTCTAAAAGTCTAGGCCGATTATCTATCCTTCTCTTCTCAAATTCCTAATTCTGTTCGTATAACCCTAATCCCCAAATTATCAAACCCGATAGAAACCTTGTTTCTATCAGTTGATGAGGAATTTTAATTCACATACTACTTAATTAAGCATCTTACGATGCATAGTCCTACTTATGCTATTCGACAAGTATTATACACTCTTATACTTCAACCTTCAAATGGCAGAGTATTCGGGATCACTAGTAACATCTCCAATAATGAAGAAACACAATTA